TAAGAACTTTGTCCCCTTTCAGACACGTCAAGTCTTGAAAGCAATTTTTTTCGCATTCTCTTTTGTGTTTTCTATTTGCTTCCACACGCGTCAACTTTAATTGAATTCAAGTCCTTGGTTCTTAAATGGGAAGCAACGAAAACATCAAAAGAGACAAGAAAACTTGAAACGAATTGACGGTACGGAGGTATCTGTACTCTTCCCCTCTCTTCCCACCTCCTTCGCCCACGAATGAGCAGACTTGAGAGCAAGACTTGACGTGTCTGAAAGGGGACTTTGGTATGTTTTTTGCCGTTTTTTCATTGTGCGCTATTTTTTAGATCTAAACAACATAGAAACATATAATGAAAGTTAACGGCCCTAAGAAAGGAAAAAGTTGGTAAAATTTTGTATGTATTGTACAAAATTATTATTATTTTTTTATAATTTAAGTGTGGATTTCTGAGCAAAGAAGATAACGTGCTTCGAGCACTCTGAATATTAAAAGAAAATTTCGTTGATTTCAAGTAGAAATAAAATAAAAATATATATATCTAATATATATTTATTTTAAAATTAGGTAAAACTTGACCTTTAAGAACAATTTAAAATAACGATTAAACCAAAAGATAAATAAAAAAACATATTGTATGTTTTAATTGAGGACTAGTCTGGTATTAAAAAAAAATACATAATTCACAAAGTTCTTTTAATATGAAGAAAAAGCACGACTTGGTACCATATACATACCTATTTCTAGGGGTGTATGTACGAAAAATTGTGTTATAAAATTTTTTAATGAATATTCATTCATTCTGCTCAGGTACCTACTTTATTCAACAATAATGCGTCATGAACCTGCTACGCCTATTGTTTGCATGCAACTAAATAAAATTTGTTGCTCTTCTACTCTTTCTGTTGACGTTCGGATTGTGTACGTGTAAGAAGCCGATTGTTTACATGTGAAAGGCCGAATATAGTTCGTTTCCCAGGAAAGTGTTTGGCGGGCACTGCTTTATATATATAGATTACGCATTCGAATTCCCATACAAATATAATTCTCCCTTCTGTGCCAATGAATTATAAGATTACTAAACCGAAGGTATATAGCCCCACCTAACAATATTAGTGACATAGAAGAAAACAGGTGCTGATGGAGCTTAAAATCGTCACAAGCAAAATAAAAAAGTGTATGAAATAAGTGATGTGGTCGAATTTCGACCACTGGGCGATACCAGTTCAGTTAAAAAGAAAAAAGTGCGTTTGGAAAATTCGACTTTTGGCCGCCTAAATCGGCCAAATACGCTTCTGTGCGCTGGAGAAAAGGGCATTCTCAATATCAATGAAAAAAAATAAAAGAGTGACCTCACACAGATAATCCGCAAAGACTCCGTGCGGACTCTTATTCGCCTATGATTTTGATAAAAGGACTCCTTAATTCATCCGAAGATAACCAAGATGGAGTATTTTGGGAGTACTCCGATAATAATCTGGAAAGGAGGTTTTTCAAAATGCTCTTATTTTGTTTATAATTAGTGCCAAGGGTCCTAATTCACATAGAAGAAATAAAGAAACAAATTAAATTAATTGTTGCTGTATAATTATTACTGAACAATGGAAAAGTTATTTTCGTCTCCTGAGACGAAAATCGTTAGATTACAACTTTTTTATCTTTTAATAATTTTCTGGGACTTTTATTCTTATTGTCTCGCGGGATGATTATTCTACGATGGAAATTATTTTCGTCTTCTCATAATAATTATATGGGACTTTTATTGAACTGAGGCTTCTTAATTAAGTTCGGAGGTTTAACGCGTTAAATATTTAACGCCACGATCGTTCGATTTTTGAGGATTGTCAAACGGAAGAGCTTTGCTTTTACGTGGTTTAAGTTTTTTGCAAAGGGTTGCCACATGTTGGAAAATCAAATTAAAATAATGGACCTCTGAGATATTAACGTTTAATTTTGTGAAATCGGCTGTGCTTGTGCATGTTGGAAAATCAAATTAAAATAATCGAACTCTGAGATATTAACGTTTAATTTTGTGAAACCGGCTGTGCTTGTAATAATTCCATTAAGAGAAAAAGTGGGACGTAAATCATTTCCGTCTTAAAATAAACGCCCCACGAGACGAAAAATATAAAAATTTCATATAATTATTACGAGAAGACGTCCCAATAAACGCCAAAAAAAAATTTTTCTACAACCTTGGAGAAATTCATAGTTCTCAAGTTGATATCCAATATCATTCTCCAACTCATCTCTAAAAAGGGATAGAAAATCGAATTTTTGATTATCAAGTGAAAAACTAAAGCTATATAAAGGGAAAAATACCAACAAAAAGGAAATAATCTTCAAAGTATTCTCAAATAGTCTTGAAAGAAAATAAAACGCGAAGTAAATCAAGTGGCAAATTTACTGTCGGACTGTATGTATACTGTGAAGTGAATTATTATAATAAGATATTGATTAACTATATACTACATAAGGAGTAATAAAATGAAAAATTAATATTTAAATTCATCTATGTATGTCATTTCAATCAAAAAGTATACGGTATTTTACTATTTAAATTTCAGTATTTCAGTGATATGATTGAGACCAATTTGAGAATTACATTGGAGTTCAAGCTGACAAATAGCAATTTCTCAAATTGAGAAACAGTCCTTTTTTCATACAAAGAAAAATGCCCTTTTTGTTGAGAACGCTATAATCCTCCACTTGAGGCACCGTTGAGAAAAAACGTCGGAGATTTGAGAAATACCTTAGTTCGCAACTTAACCTCAAGTTGAGCTCAAACCTAAATGTTTGTTGGGGTAAATCATTTCCGTCTTAAAAAAAAAAATATTCCGAGAAAAAAAAATTAAAAATCCCATATAATTATTATAAGAAGATGTAAATCATCTCGGATTTTACGTGACAGAGAAAATCCGAGGTGTTTTTTGAGGTTAGGTTTTATCAATTACACATGTCCACAACAAAAAATCGATGAAAGGTTCTTTAGACCAAACCTAGTCTATGATATGTTTGTGGGGTCGCTGAACACGAATCTGAAGTCTGTTTTGCTCCATCACGTCGAGATTTTTTCCTAAACTCAAAAAATACCTCGGATTTTCTCTGTCCCTTTCGTTTCGACAAAAATTACGTGCGAAAGGATGTTGTAAAATTTTATTTTGACAGACAAAAACAAAAACATAAAAACATGATCATGAGATAATTACAACGTACGCCAACAAAACAAAACAACTTATCACACAGAGAATTTTTCACAATGCATGCACCTTTTTTTCTTCTTTATTAAAAACAGTTTATCATTACAACGTACGCCTACGTACGTACGTTTCATGAAAGAAAAAAATTTAAGTACAAGATAACATTAAAATATCAGTCATATTTTTCGTTGGTGTGAACTTGTTTCAAAACTTCTGCCTTTTCCTTAATATAATTGTAAAACTCTGTCATAATTAAGTTGAAAAAATATTTAAATTCCATGCTGCCTGTAATGTGCTGCACTCAGCTGCAGCCAGACATGTAAATGTGCATTCAAATGTTAAGTTTGAATCAACACCACGCGTATGCGGCATGAAAGTATTATTTTTATATACGCACATTTCAAAACGATAATCAAATAAAAAATATTCATGTTTACTATGCGTTGTTTCCCTCAGTGAATTCACAAAATTTTTCTGAATATTACAACGCGTTTTTTCTCTTAGTGTAGTGATTTTGGAACTTTTATTCAAATTTATGCAATCAAATCGAAAACCGGGACATTTTAAGGTTGGGCCGAGACACTGGGACAAATAGTCTAAAACCGGGACATGTCCGGGAAAACCGGGATGTCTGGCAGCCCTACATATGTACATACATACTTCTTTGGTTCAAATAGGAGCGGTAAGAAATATTCCATTGTTGCATATTTTTAGGCCCAACGCGTATATTCAGTATATTCAGTATATACATATATATACATATGTCTGTACATCTTAAAAACCAAGCAGCAATTTTTAAAAATTATGATCAGTAGTGCGATTAGGTAACTCTTAAAAATAAAAAAATTGTTAGGTTACATAACAACTTTTGCCGTTTGCACTAACAATTGTGTGATTCCTTGATTATTCCTTTTTATTTAAAATGATGAAATGTGGCATCTCAGTCGAGATCATTAGCGCACACAAGGGGTGAGTTTTGGGGTTCAACCCCCCCCCCCCCCCCCAAAAGCTAATAACCTAAATCTAAGAATCAAGCTCTCAAGGAAGTTATAGGAAATATTTATTATAATTTCTGTTGCTTGAAAAAGCGCTTTGCTTTTGCTGTAAATCTTCATGAGGGAATAAATATACAAGCATTTTTTTTTTCTTGAGAGCTGCAAACTGATTTAAGAAAATTTCTTTTCCATTTCTCGTCCGTCGTTTTATATGAATTTTTCGTTTTTCTTGAGAGTTCAGTTAATTTTTTCGGTATTTGAAATATTAAAAAAATTTAGCAATCGTGAAAAGTCGCCATCTCTATCGAAAACCAGAAATCGAAAAAATGAACATAGAAGAGCAAAAATTCATGGAATCAATAAACTTATTTTTACTGACTCTTTTTTAAAATTTTTTATTAGGTACTTTTGAAAGTTGAGCGAATCTTGAGTTTATAGAACTTTTTATTAAACAAGTAGTTTTTAAGGAAAGAACACAACCGACTTCAATTCTCATATTCAAATTTAGGGGTACCGTTAATTTCTTCATGATCCAATCATCGGATCTCTAAAACAAATTACGGGACGAACCTTGAGGTACGTTCTTTCTAATAAAAAAAGAATTATTGAAAACGGTTCACGTGGTCCAAAGTTATGTATTCCGACGAGATGATAACCACCCTTTTTTTTGAAGTCGGTTAAAAGCGTTTGAGTTCTGTTAATCTGTAAATAAAGTGCAGTTTATGAATTTTAAAACGTTTATTTATTTATTACATACTGTACATAAAGCTTGCATAAATATATTTTAAAGAGCGTATTATCTGAAGCAAATTTTCAGTATTTTCCGGTGATATATCTTCAGAAATATAAAACCCCCCTAAAATATATTCCTGGGTGCGCCCCTGTTCGAGATAGATGTCAAATATGCGAAAAGTACAAAGAGGAATAAGAAAAAAAACTTATTTCCTTCCCGCGGAATTTTTAGCGCCAGCAACGTATTGCAATTTTAAAAGGTAGTATTTAGTTATTTTAGTTATTAATTGGAATTTACTAGAACTTCTTTCATTTCAGGATGTCTATCCAGCCGACGAAAAGGAGCTGTGCATCGGGGGAGCAGTTAAGCGCGATGCTTGACTTTCTGGGTGAAAACCCGATTGTGGCGAGCGGCAAGTTCCAGAAGCTCCATGGCAAGTTGGAGAACACCAAGAAGTGGGCAGAGATGGCAGATAAATTGAATTCTCTTAGGGGGGCTGCCAAATCTGTGGAGCAATGGCAAAATGTAAGTATAAGTGATAAAGTACGAGCATTTCCGGAAATGCATTACTGCAAAACATCGCACCTCTTATTCCAAAAATATGTTTGCTGAAATCAGATATCATTATATACTTAAGTATAAGAAGAGGTGCTTTGCAGTAAGGCATTTCCGAAAACGGCCTACACCAAAGAATAGTAAAGTATGAAAGTGTGTTTCTATTTCGCAAAAGGTCTGGCGCGACCTAAAAAGTCGAACATCAACGCGAGTTCGTGATCGTAAGAGGGAGCAAGCATTGACGGGGAATATACCGCTTCAACAGCCTCCCTTGAACGAATTGGAGAAGCGGGTAATAGCTCTAGTGGGAAGCAGCTATATGGAGGGGCAACCGGATGTCCAGGAGAATATTCCCATGGAAGAGGTAAGTTGAATTGTACCGTATTAAAAGCCCATGCCAATATGCTAATCATATTGCAATATTCATTATGCTATTTTTAGGAACTGCAATTAACATTGGGGGCGGCGGATGAAAATTTCCGCTTAGTCATGGAGGAAGACACCATGGTAATTCCTCCACTAACGGTGTCGGATGGCGAGTCGGAAATTCGGTGCGAAACTCCGAAAACGCCGAGGCAAGCACCGCGCAGAAGCGCTAAGCGGAAACGTGCGGAAGAATCGCCAACAAAGGCGAAATTTTTAAGAATTGCCGAGGCACAGGCCGAATCAGAAAAGGTAATTTTTTCAATATTGTATTTGTATTGAATTATTAATAAAACTTTTATTTTCTTATAGGCTTGCTGAAAGTGCTGCAACCAACGCGGAGGCCAACCGCTCCAATGCTGAGGCAATATGCAGAATGGCTGCTGCCACAGAGCGAATGGCTACCGTAACTGCAACAGTGGCAGAGGCCTTCACGGTGTTGGCGGAGGGGGTGAAAGCTTGTGCGCATGCTTTCGCCCAGTTTACTAATTCACTGGGCCCTCCCCAATAGATGTAAATTGTTTGTGTATATACTTTTCTTTTGCTTTTTTAAGGTTCATTAATTTTTTGTTAAAGTTAAGCTCCTTAACTAACAAAACCAATATAAGTCCAAATTTGAGACTTTTTACAAAAATTATAAAAATTCCACAAACTGTTCTTCACAATTCCAAGCATTTTAATTTTGATTTCTAGAATAATCCAATTTTATAGCTTATTAAAATCGAGTATAATAAAGTGCAAGTTATTCTATAAATTAAAATTATAATGCTTAAGATTGGGACGAAAAGTTTATGCAATTTCTATAATTTTTGTACAAAGTCTCTAATTTGGACCTATATTGGTTTTGTTAGTTAAGGAGCTTAACTTTAACAAAAAATTAATGAACCTTAAAAAAGCAAAGAAAAGTAGTCAAAACTGGTAAAAATTTTGATGTGCTATCTTTTGTCGCGGGCTGTATGTATATATTTTTATTAATAATAGGTTAGATTATTATTAACTTATTTGTTGGTGCCTTTTTACTTTTTTGTTTTTCAAATGAATTGTTCTTAGTTGAATCTTGTTTTCTGAATTTATTTCTAGTGATAAGTGTTCGTGCCTTGAGTATACGCTTTTTTTTAATATTCGCAATGTTTTTTATGCTATAAATTTTTGATCAGTTTTTTTTCAAAGGATGGCTCATATTTTAACAAATACTAAACAAATCTAAGTTTCACACTGTATACATAAATTAGAAGTATTCTGCCAAGTTTTATCCAAATCGCAAGATTTTTAATAAGAATATCCAAAAAAAAGTATGTATGCATCCCAATTTTATTATGATAATTTGCAAATTTCAAATGTCTAAAAATTTGGGTTGTTCTTTTAATAATTTTTTGCTGTCCTGTGAATTTTTCCCATATAAAGCATTTTCAAACATTTTTTATATGGTAAAAATGCATAGGACAGCAAAAAATTAGTATAAAACAACGCGCATTTTCAGACATTTCAAATTTGCACATTATTATAATAAATTTGGGATGGATACATACTTTTTTTTGGAAATGCTTATTAAAAATCTTGCCATTTGGATGCAACTTGGCAGAATACTTCTAAATTATGTACATATACAGTGTGAAGCTTTGATTTGTATAGAATTTGCTAAAATATGAGCCATTCTTTAAACAAAACGAAAAATTCACAAAAATATATAGCATGAAAAACATTGCGAATATTAAAAAAAAATATCACCGTATTAATTATTTAATGAATTATTTTATTTTCATTTAGCTTTGGTAGCTATTATTAACTAATTTAATTTTATTGTACTGTTTTTGCAATAAATGAAATGGTAATTTAATAAAAACTTCTAAATAGTTTGCCTTTATTTTATTAGTTTTCTTACCGCCTACTGAAATTTTCTAGTGAAACTTAAATATGTACTTATGGTTGAATATATGTAATTTGGTTATGATTCAAAACAACAATTTTATTACGTGTGTCAAGTTATCACTATATTTTTCTAAATATAAAAAGTTAAATAAGTTTTTCTTTCCACAACAAACTTACAACAAAAAAGTTACAATTAATGCCGTATTTAACTTTTAAATGAGTTGAAATAATGCATTATACAGGGTGTCCCAGAAGTAACGTGCCAAACTTTAGGGGAAGGTAGGTGGGAGGGTGAGCTCCCTGACAAACAAAAAATTTTCAGGTAAAATAGGACCGTTTTTGAAATATTTAAATTTTTTCGAATTAAAAAAAAATCGTGCCTTTTCATGTGGTTTCTTTAACTGCAACCACAAACCGGGCAATACTTAGTAAATTTTTTATGTAAAATACTTCCAGATAGTTGCCTCTCCATACTCAAATGCAATGTAGTTAAAATATATTAAGGAACCATCATAAAACTAGGACTATTTTGGGAGTTTTAACTCTTTGATATTTTCTTCCCCAACTTTGACTATCTCTGGTGAAAAAAAACGTACTGAGCTTTAACATTATATTACACAAAAAATTGCTCATTTAACAAAGATTTCAGAAAGGTGCCACATTTAATGTTTTGAATAGACAAAAAAAGTTATAGCCACTTTTGTGGGTAAAGGACTGAGACACGCTAGAATGTATTTAATAGATTTAAATTGAATTTGCTCTTGTTACCGTCAAATGACATGCTAAATAGTACAAAGGTACATTATTACCTGCTCCTGACATTATTTTGTGTTACTTACCGGAATTAGTGAAAGTGGATTTTGTGAAATTGGACCCTTCGAACATTGTGTTATTAGTACTATGACAGAGAACACGCAGTATACGTCGCATGAATATGCGGATATTCACCTAATTTACGGTGAAGCTTGCTATAATGCCAGAGCTGCTCAAAGACTCTATGCAGAGCGATACTCCAATCGTCGACATCCGGGTCGTGAAGTATTCGCCCGGACCCATAGAGAAATATATGAAGGTAAGTGATTTTACACCTTTCTTGTTTGCTTGCTTGTTAACTATCATTTTTCACTTTTTAAGGTCGCATACCTGGAAGGCGTGGCGGCGAAACAGGACGTCCTGCAACGGTAGATGTTGAAGCTGTGTTAGAGGAAGTGGAACTAGGTCCATCGACTTCAGTGAGAATGATGGAAAGATGGACGGGAATACCAAAAACTACAGTTCACAAAGCTTTACAAGACCATCGATTTCATCCATACCACATTCAACGTGTTCAGGCTCTACAAGAAAGAGATTACCTGTCGAGAGTTAGATTTTGCCGTGAAATGTTGCGAATGCATGAATCAGACCCCAACTTTTTTAATAAAATAATTTGGAGCGATGAATCATCATGCAAACGTGGTGGTTATTTTAATTTACATAACCTTCACAGTTGGCAGATAGACAATCCTCACGAAATGAGAGAAGATCGTTCGCAGTACCGGTACAAAATAAATTTATGGTGCGGTATTTTTAATTGTCAGATATTGGGACCTGTGCAACTGCCGCTAACGCTCAACTCTCACAGTTATTTAGAGTTCCTTCAGGAACGGCTTCCAACTCTTTTGGAAGATGTACACTTAAACCTGCGGCAAAGACTATCGCTGCAAAATGACGGGTGCCCTGCTCACTACGGGCGTGAAGTAAGTGCTCATTTAGACGAAACTTATCCTCGCCGATGGATTGGACGATACGGGCCAATCACGTGGCCCGCTCGATCGCCAGACCTGAATCCATTAGATTTTTTCTACTGGGGCTGTCTTAAGGACAAAATTTATTCAAAAATAATTCAAAACGAAGAGCATTTGCGGGAACAAATAAATGGAGCTGCTGCTGAGATAGTCCAATTGAGCTTAAGATCTCTAAAAGCGTCTTTTCTTAAAAGGTGCCGAGCTTGTATTAGAGTAGAAGGTCGCCAATTTGAGCATATTTTATCATTAAATGAATAAATTTTTCTTCAAACAACTCATGTATATCTTATTTCACGTGAACCCATCCTTCACACAAAATATTGATAGATATAGCCCTTGTTATAGACTCTAGTCCGAATTCCGGTAAGTAACATAAAATAATGTCAGAAGCAAGTAATTATGTACCTTTGTACTATTTAGCATGTCATTTGACGGTAACAAGAGCAAATTCAATTTAAATCTATTAAATACATTCGAGCGTGTCTCAGTCCTTTACCCACAAAACGGGCTATAACTTTTTTTTTTTTATTCAAAACAGTAAGTGTGGCACCTTTCTGAAATCTTTATTAAATGTGTAATTTTTTTATGCAATGTAAAGTTATAGCTCAGTACATTTTTTTTCACCCGATATAGTCAAAGTTGGGGAAGAAAATATCATAAAGTTAAAAAGCCAGAAATAGTCCTAATTTTATGATGGTTCCTTAATATATTTTAACTACATTGCATTTGAGTATAGAGAGGCAACTATCTGGAAGTATTTTACATAAAAAATTTACTAAGTATTGCCCGGTTTGTAGTTGCAGTTAAAGAAAACACATGAAAAGGCACGATTTTTTTTAAATTCGAAAAAATGTAAATATTTCAAAAATGGTGACACTTTTACCTGAAAATTTTTTGTTTATCACTGAGCTCACCCCCCACCTACCTTCACCTAAAGTTTGGCACGTTACTTCTGGGACACCCTGTATAACAGTTGTGCATGTACATAACAGTTGTGCACAAAATAAAAGGAGTCAAAATATCGCATTCCTATTATTTCGTGGACCACTCTAAGTAATATCGGGTAGATATTTCCAATCAATTTATAATGTCGATACCCCAGTTATTTCAATGTCTACATGCATTCAGAGTACATAAAATGGTGAAAAATTTGTTAAGTCATTAAAAATATGTTTGCTTTAAATTTGTAGAAAAACATATCGTCACCTGAAACTCAAAAAGACGTAACAAAAATCATTGTTGAAATGCAAAAAGTCATAACTAATAAAAAATTCAAAATTTACTTTTTGATTTATATAATGGATTTCAACGAGTTACAACTTCCCACATCATTTTATGAAAAAAATAATTAAAATATTAGTCACGACTTTTTCAATATAATTTACGATATTCTTACGTCTTTTTGCATTTCAGGTGACGGTTTGTTATTTACTTAATTGGTACTTATTCAATAAGTGTCAGGGTGCCGGTAATGTTGTGGTATGATCCTTCTTTGTTATCAAACTGGTTCTTTAATTGACTTAATGCTCATTTGGCAGCTGTGCACTTCACTGATAGTTACGACCAATACCCCGGAATGAACTACTGTGACCCTTGCACGGCGCCCATCAGCCGTTCGTCGTCATTGAAACGCTTCAAAACGTATTGGAATCGATGTAGTAAAGCAGTAACCGCCAAGCGCCCAGTTAAGACATTCGAATTCAATGATGTATCACCCCCGCAGTTGTATGTGCTAGAAAATTTGTATTAGCGCTGTTAAAAATGCCTGAATAGGCACATAAAACTCCTCTTTGGCATGGTTGTTTTTCGTTGTGATCTTTGTGCTTTCAATGCCGATATTTAGCCAAATATTCCATGCAATCTACGTACAAGAAATGAATAAGAGATCTAAAAAGGTACTAAACTTCCCGCTAAACACAACTCACCCTGCAAATTCATCATCTTTGATTCCGCTGTTTCCTCGTTAGTAAGTGACGCCAATTTGTCTGCATTGTCATGCATAATTTCTTGCAGCGATTTTAGTGCGGCCAGCGAGTCTTCACAATTTTTACTCAAGGCAGCACCATCCACCTTCTCACTGCTTCCCGTACTGGAAAGCGCACGCACATTATCAATCAACGGAAATAGAACTTGCCAAACGAGCGTCTGTTATGTGGGCTGGTTCAACAAACGACCATGCCAAAAAGAATGCGGAATGCAATTACCAACTGAACACACATAGGTATCAGTGGCTCACTGAAATGGTGTATACATATTTACACATTTCTTTGAAAATAATACCAAACAGAACACGCAATTTTACCTATGGTGATCATTTGCATTCCAATATTTCTCAGGCAGAGAAGCGAGTATTATGCCAACAGCATTGATGTAGCTTTGTATCTCTTTTTGTGGTATCCATGAATAACCCTTCACAACAGCACCGGCACTCACAAATTCAATTGTTTTTTATTGGCTTACTGCGAAACGCCCGCACAGTGTAAGGGCGCTGTTGGGTTGGTTGTTTTGTAATAGATTTAGGAACATTGTCAGCAATATAGGCTGTATTGATGCTTGGAAACAGCGGGCAACAATTGCTCTATAAGAGTTAATGAAAATGTAAACAATTATGAAATATGGGTTTGCTTTAGGGTTGTGCGATTATTCGATTACTCGAGCAAGTTGGTTAATCAGTTGTTCGATTAACATATTACATTTAAAGCATGATAATGATTAATACAATATTAATTAAGGTTTTGAATAATCAATTAATTGCACAGCCCTAGCTTGCTTCTTCCGAATAGCTCACGCAAGAATCCTTTTAATGTCCACCGGTTCGATTTCGTATGAACGAGCAATCGTGCATACATTGCTACTAAAGCCGGCGCAGGTGTGGAAATTTTTCATTGAGGCTATCAAAATCAATAAATTTAGCTGGTTAGTTCGCAGGTTTAGCGGTGCCATTTAACGGCTCGCCAAGAATGTTCATTGAACGTGAAAAATAAATACTGTTGATTTGTTGAATATGCATTACATATAATGCAAAAAGCGTTGCCCATTTTATTGTGCAGAGGAAGATGATAAAAAACGGATAACAAATAAAGGCGTTAGTTAACGTGCATTGAACAAATCTAGAAAATAAAGGCAGTCATCCATGATAAAAGCGAACTCATGTAAAATAAATAAGTTGATATAATTTGCTATAATGGTACTTACTTGCGTCTCTTGGTGGATGGCTGGCCTATCATCGAGACGATCGTTGACGGCATATATTAAGTTATAGGAATATTTAAAAAAAAATTTGCTATAATTCGTTGCTGAACACGTTTCGCTACTGAAGAAGGTGCTGCGGAATCGTCATTAGTGCTTAGTATTTCGGGATCATAAACAACCCGATCGTCAAAATCGGTTGTTTGATCGCCCAAACGAACGTTATGCAATGTTGCGCACGCGTTAACTACTCCGCCAGCAAAGCCGGGGTCATACAAAAGTACTCTTTGCCGTGATAAGCACCGCCATTTGCCTTTAAGGACGCCAAAGAGTCTCTCGATCGGGTTACGTGCTTTACATAGCGCCTCGTTGTAGCGAAACTTTGGTGTTCCTTCTGGCTCGTTTGGTGAAGGTGTCATCAGGCATGGCTCCAGCGGGTATCCAGAATCGCCTGAAATTTTTTTCTTTTAATATTTCTATTCGTATGGAATTAAAACAACTTATCTATCAAAAAAGTGTTGTGATTTCCAGTTTCAAATGATCGCTGCATGACCCGACGCGCTGCAGAGAAGCTCCAAATAAACGAATAATGTCGTGCTCCCGGAAATTTTGCATTCACGTTTAAAATTTTAAGATTTGGATCACATATCTATAAGTTTGAACCATTATAAAATAACAATATAAATTTTCATGTTGTACATTTGTTCTTACCATTTGCACGTTCATCGAATGGTACCCATGGTGATTGACATAATTTGATTCATTATTTTTGGGAGCCAAAATTGCAACATGGGTGCAGTCGATTGCACCGATAGTTCCTGCTACAAATGATGAAGGTGCAGACGCAAAAATTCCCTTTGCCGCTTGGCACTCCAGTTGCGTCGTAGGGAACTTCATTTTGGAGGTAAACATTGAATTGTTGATTGCGTCAGTCACACGGTGTATGCAACGGCTTATCAATGTTTGGCTCATGGATATGCCCCACTGTTCACCTACTGGGCGTTGATAGCATCCAGTGGCATAAAACCGTAGAGCAGCTAGAACCTTCAACGAGTACATAAACACATGCTTATACAAGATGCTTTCTAGCGGTAATAGCAATTGTACGTTTTACAGAAAAAGCTGTTCCACGTCACATAAGGTTTATTAAAGTTAAAAGCAGCTTTTTCTGTAAATCCTTGAAACCTTCAGACCCTGCAATTCGTACTACTGCTGGAACGCACCTATAATATTTAATAAAGTTGAAATACATGTGTATTGACTTACCTGCTTTTCAGTCGATAACGCTGTTATTCGCGATCCTCTTAATTGATTGTCAAGTTGCGACACCAAATTTTCAACCATGCCGGGACTGAGTCTATATAGGCTCCGGAACTCCGTTAACGTTAGTTCGAAAGGGTTATCGATTTCGCGAAGCCTACGCCGGTCAATTCTTGGCACGTTTAATGGCTGCTCATTATCGTTATCATATAAATATGATACATTGCATCCAAATGCCATTTTTTAACACAATCTTCACAATTTTCTCAATTTAACTTCACAGCAAAATTTGTAAACAACAGCTTAACAAAGAAAAACTAGATGCTGTTAGCTTAACCACAAAAATAATTGTCACCAAACAGCTGACTGCGTTTGTTAACACTAAACAATGACAAATATGGTTAAAGTTGATACACAATCACTTAACCCCAAAAAAAGTTGTTAACTAGAGATAACAACGTGAAATGTGGTTAAAATAAGATTCAGAATCGCACTACAGGCCTGGGCGACGCCGACTGCGCTACCTTCGGGGTAGCGTCGCGTGTTGGTATACACGAAATTTAAAGCTAAAATTAAGTGTAATTTAGCGTGTTGAATTTTAACCGATTCATTAGCCCTGTTCGCGTACGCACTATCCAGTAAATCCAGTACAAATTTTACTGATTTTTTACTGGATGTCGTTTTCGTACGCAAAAACTTGCAAGAAACTAGCAAAAGAGGGGAAATTGAGAGAGCCAAAATGACAGCTGAACTTGCAAGTTTTACTGGATTTTTACTGGATAAATGTTTACTAGCAACTATTTGCTAGTAAGAAAAACAGCTGATGGCATGATGCTTATTGTAAATCACATTAAGAAAATAATTGTTTATGGTGCTTTTTGAGTTGCAATTGACAACCTATTTAAATATATAATAAGATGGAAAACACTAGTTTTCTAAGAAAATTGCATCGGAAAATAACAAACTAATCAGCTGTTCATAAAACTAGCAACTTCTTGCTGGTTTTGCGTTTTCGTACTTTCTTGCATATTTCACTCATTGGGAGTAAATATTGGCTTACTCTCCGAAATTTTGTTACTGGCAAGTTACTGGATATTTTTTGCTGGAGAATACGAAAACACAACTATTATGAATCACTAATTAATAGCCCTGTTCGCGTACGCACTATCCAGTAAATCCAGTAC